GGTCAATTTGACAGCAAACTAACGTTTGATTTTTAATTATGTTTTTCTTTCATAGAAATTTGCAAATTCATTTAACACTAATACTTCATAAATTCTACAATTTAGTGGGAAGTAAACTCATTTCCTAAATTCGATGTTCGCACAATTTAAATACAACAGTAGCAGTTTCTCGAACAGACTAGGGTTCAACGGTATAAATATATAATTCAATTCAAATATAAAAATACAGCTAAATTATATGCTACTGGTGCAACCATCATAAATAGAAGGTCGACAATACATACTTCGGATTACAAAGTATTGACCTCGCCTGAAAATTTAATTCTCCATACTCTACTCAGGCACATGTGCCATAACTGCATAAAATTTGCAATCCACTCATAACGTTACATATTTCAGTGTCATACAGCACCAGCGAAGCTTAAACCTCGCTCGTTCACCATTTACGATGCAATAAACTCTCTATTATCAACTGTCTCCTTCGAAGACAGCTCTAAAGGGGTTGAGTACGTCGAGAGGGTAAATATTGTGCCTGGTACTCCTAACCCGTTATTGCTTTCTGTGTCACTTAATGGTGTCTGAAGCCGAGTCAATATATTCCTTCCATCGACATATACACGCCCTTCCGAACGTTGTGATTACAGTCAGCGGAGTTTCGTTAGGTCTCGCGATACCCTAAAGATGGGAACCAGACGCGGTGGACGACAGTGGCGAACCACAGTCGATATTGGCTGGTACCTATCGACCGACAGGGGGTAGATGTTCCTTTACGAAGTGGCCCACGAGGAAATTGAGCATCGGTGGCGGTTTCAGGGAATGCCTCGTGCTGAATGTCCCGTCACTCTCGGGTGGGATCGACCTCGCACAAGGAGCACTCGAACCGAGAACGGCCGGTTCCGCAACGCGCCTCGAGTTGCCGTCGCGCGCCACGAAGCGCACGCTGATGCAACTCGAGCGTTGCAAGGACAAAGGAACACACATCCGACTACGTGCATGCAAAAAAAAAAAACGAAGAACCGTCTACTAGCGATGATAATAATAACATAACACCGGTGATAGTTTCACGGGACGAGGATCGGCTGCACGCTGGACTTGCTTTTGTACTCTCCATAAGGGCTCGGTTCGATAGCTGGTTGCTATCTTTAGCTGAGCATCCTACGTTACACAGTTTTAGTTACATCCTCCTTACGTTTCTCTTTGTGAATTTACTTTCTTTTATAACTCTAGTCTGTTCAATTGACTTTATACTTGTGTGCAGATGTTGAATTAGTAGCATTACTGTAATTAGAATTGATGTCTGTTCAGAAGTGTCAGCTTTCGTTTATTAGTTAAAAGCAGTGCTTTGTACTGAAAAAGAAAGAAAACATCCAAATAATTCATATCTTGTATTATTTTTCTTAGTTTGATGAACCTTTCCGCGTATAAATAAATAAGGGATTTGACACAAGTTCTTGTAGAATCTATTTAAAAATTTGTTGACCTGTACGTTTCTCATATTTATCTGATCATTTAGCTAGGTACATAAAATACATTTTTAGATCAGATAACGTACCGTAAAATTTCTACAAACAATAATCTTAAACAGATTCGTGTCCAACATTAGTACACTTACCATTTCAAAGGCAACAATTTTTTTCATAACAATACATATTACTTTTGTCTAATCTAATAAATGAAACTGACATCAAAGATTCTTCTTGAAAACTCTCATTATCATTATTACCATTATTCCGCCCTTATGAAGTCAAAAAAACAACGACCACATATATTAATTATTCTCGACGGGATCGCAAAATTATCACCGGCGGCAAAGTCGAAGCGTAACAATAACATGCCAAATACAGATTACGAACAAAGCACGGTGACCAACAGCAATCACAAAAGAGCAAAGAGAACCAGAAATAATGTCTCTGGCAGTTAGCAATATGCGGGTGGAAGTGTTCAGCGTGAGGAAAGGAGTGACGTTCAGGTCGCATGATGCGGCTTACCTCGTGGCCTGCTTTTGTACCCAGGCCGATCAATAGTTGCGGCTCCGACTTCCGGTCCTAAAGTCCGTTCATGCTTAAGGTTAAAGCAAGTCTTTGATTATTCTGATAACGGGGACACGCCATGTGTCTGCTTCGATTCGTCAAGCGAAGTCGAAGGAGCGCACTGAAAGCGGTCGCAGGATCGAAATCTTGTTGGGGCCATTATTACCGTGGGCAATGGTATCAATTCGATCAATACTTTGACTGCCATGTATCACTCAGATCACATATTAGCTTCAAACTACAAGTTAATATTCATAGTACAATATTAGATTCAATGAATTTGGTTGAGAACCACCAGGTAGTTAAATAACTTCTATAAAGTTGGAAAAATAAAGGACTGTCAGAAATGTCAGCTTACACAGTCCTCGTTTTCTTGAAAGAAGGGTTGTAACACTATAAAAGTTTTAGGAATTTTTTTTGGCAGTCAAAGTGTTCAATGAGTCATAAAGTCTGTTCACTATTCAGAGACTCACCATTGGTATTGACTAAGTTACGCAAATGAGTTGAGCATATTTTTTTTTATATGCCAAGAAAATTCAAATGCAATAACGAAACTGAAATTTGTTTCTTTGACGTAGATTTATACGATATTATTGTTTATATGCACATGAAATGTCGTTTTCTTTTATAATTTTTAATATTTCTTAAGTCACATATGATACAATCATCAGCATACGGTTAAAATATTAATCTTAAAAGTAGGATCCTGAAGTACAATTGGAAAAATATGGACATACTGATAATTAGTTTCAAAAACTTCCACTAATTTTAAAAGGCTAACAAATTTTTGAAAATGTCGAGAAGATATCTATCAAAACGTATTTACACATTTCAATCAACTTTACTATTTTTCAAAGAATAAATTATTCTAGTATTTTATTCAGTTTATAAAATGGTCATATTATAAATGCGAGAGAAAATAATGAGAAAAATTAAGAGAAATCTAGTGAAACTGAATATTTCATTCATGAATAAACTTCAGAGCTTATCAAATATCAAATTCCTTAAGGGCTCTTCTACAAAATTAATCTTTCTTTCCTCAATTCAGATTTGTCCTTATAAATTTTAAAATACTTCCTTTTAAATCCTAACCACATAACTGAATGACTCTCGCAGAAATCGAATCACAGAAACCGATATTTCATATGCAAGAAACATTCCAACTCGATACGAAGTAATGGAACGATATTCAGCAAAATACGACCCTTCATTGCTAGTCCGATACAGATACATGGCACAGTTCTCGGAGTAAATAAAACAGGGTTCTACGCCCGTTTAGTATACTGGGGTTAGTGAGTCAGACATTTTAGTAGCGATTGGTTTTAGTAAACTGGTAAGCGGCCCCGGTACATCAATGCGTTTCTCAGAAGTACACCAAGTGATTCCCGCGATTTTAGTTTGAGCATTTAAGAAGGGCAGGGAACTGTGACGATCGATCCTTCGACGCCAGTCCACCACACCGTGGCCAATAGCAAAAGCACTCTAACCCGTACCTCCGACATTTTCGACCTCGAACCGATTACCCACGACCTCCTTAGCCTCTGCTCAGGTCAGTTTATCATTGATCGCGTGCTCCTTAAAATCAGAAATTTCTTACTTTTTTTAAACTAGAAACGCTTCCTTTCAGAAAGTTACACAGGCAATCCATTGAAATGTCAATAATCCCCTATTTTCTCTCAACAAGATGCTGGGAGAGTTTAAGATTTATATATTCTGCTACTTTGATACTTGATAGAAATCGCGTAAGACGTGAAAAACTGACACAGAAATTAGGAAAAATAGTAAATTATTCATTAATATAATTAATAAAATTGACGAAACTGAAATTTGGCACTACACCGATACTATAAGAATTATAGTATTAGAATGAAAATTTTGAATAAGAAAATATGTGACAAACTAAAAAATTTTCTGATGCAAATTATAAGTAGATATGTAATCGAGATTTGTCTCAAATGCGCTCTAACGTTTGAAGTTTATGATACTTTATAGTTGAACGTGATATGGTTTAATAAAGATAGAATCTGTTCTAAACATAAACCACTTTATATCCCTGTGACTTTTTCAAAGACCGTCATGTGTGACAATACAATCTCTCGTGTCCAATTATTTTCAATATCCGAGCCTGTCAGAATTAATGATTGGACTGTCGCGTCATTCTCTCGCCAGAATAAAATCACATTCATTTATAAACCGTACATATCAGCGTTTCTATTAACTTTCTGTAAACAAACGCAGTTTTTCACAGTCCGTAAGCAAACAAAGTCTATGTCCAATCCTTATTTCTTTACTATTATAGGCTTCCAAACAATTTCAAAAAATTCCGTTATACTTATCAAGGTCTCTACTACATTATGTAATCATTCGTTAAGTCAAATGTTTCAAACTTTTTCGAATAAAATACAAAATTTTGAGCAAATCCCGCGAAAAATGGGAATTCACTTGGGATCCTCAAAAGGTCACATTGCCTATGGATGGTCAACTATATCCTACTGAAGAGGTATGTAAACTTAAATAATTACACAACGTCCCGTGACAAATCACGCGCCCACAATCTCGATTTTTACCGCCCAGGTATTCGTCCGAATACGAACGCCAGAATCTCTAGACTTCAGACCTGCTATGTATGTACATCGATCAACGGGTACCCAACGTACTCGCCGAATGTGTGCACAGTCTTACCACAATGATTCATGTCGTTCGATCCGTAAATCACCCCACTCCGGCCGAGCACGAACGATCCCACATAACGCAATAATTCCAACGATCGACCCGAGCAGAGGTCTGATTGTGCGGGTCGAGGCAATATCATCATCGATTCCGGAGGGCTAGAATAGACGGGTCCGAGGTCGTGAAACAATGAGAAGAGGATGCGATAGTTTGTGTGCGTTCCGCGACCGTCACCCTATCTGCCGACCGGTTTTTTCCCCTGTACATACCGCCACGGACAATATTCGTATAAGGCATTACCTTGAGACGATCGAGACGCTCTCACGGCGGTCCTCGATCAGCGGGTCCTTTTTCCTCAGCTCGACCTTGGGCGAAGCGAAACTGAAAGCCTTCTTCACGCTCTCGAGGACGCTCTGCCCGGTGGTCTGTGTTTGGTCGACGATCGTCGTGCTTTTGTAGACGTCTTCGCCCAGGTCGCCTAACGACCTGTACGAAGCGCCAATACCTGCCGGCATGGCGACCACGTTTCCGCGTGCTCTCGCTCGCCCACGATGATGCTCTGGCCCACGGACCTTCGACGACCTATTCAGACGTCTTCGACGAGGGATTCACCTGTCCACCGTGTTCCGGTGGAGATCTGGACAGCCGTCCTTTACTTCTCTCACTGTGCTTGGCCTGGTTGTGGCGGTGCGCTGTGATGCTGCTGATACGCGTGCCCGAAGCCGATACGCCTATATCGCACGTCAACGAGGCAAACGAACGGGCAAATGGGCAAATAAAGAAAGTCCAAGATAAGAGGGTTACGTGTGAACGGCTCGAACTATCGATCGAGGCATCGGCGATGATTTTCTGTCGTATTCGTTCGGGAGGTTTTTCATTTGGAGTTAAATATTAACGTTTATGGAATAGTAATATTATTAAGTGAAACAAATTTAATCGAAGGCCAGTAGATTCAGGGAAGTTAATGTTGCACCATGTGAAATTGACCCTGTACTACCGAAATTAATGTTAGTGTTAAAACAGTTTGTTACCACTGACCAGTTGAACACAGAGAACTGAAATTTTCAATTTTGAAAGTTTTAGGTTATTTTCGAAATAGGATCGCGACTTTCAGGTCACACTGGGCAGTAGTGCATTTGCAAATGTCTTATGATTTTTTTATTTCACGTTTCATTGGTCAACTGTGGAAAAAGTACTCATTTGTTTCATAATTGCAAAATTGGTATATGAGTACAAACTCAAACTGGACAGTACAGGGTTAAATGTGATATACAATCACATTTGTTGGGGTAGATGTGTTGGGTCAATGTGTTGGGGTAGACAGTAGTTATAACGGTACTGTGCCTCCCTATTTCCGTTGATTATTGAATTCTTTCTGTGCTAGTCTAAGTTCTCTACATAAGTAAACGAGATGGCAGCTATCAAAGGAATAGTTCCGAGAATTTTTCTACGGCAGAGTCAGGGGAATGAAGTTACGAAATCTCGCGTCATTCACAACATTCTCTTAACGACAGATGACCTTTTGCGGCACTGAAGCTTTCCGAGAAACAAAATACTCCCAAAGCGATAATTGATAACTATAGTATACGAAGAATTCATACAAAATCCTTCATCTGTATAAAAATGATATGCCATTTAATTATGTCGTTCGAAGGAAAACCTATTCATCGTCACGATACATAATTTCGATCCAAGAAAAATGATTTTTGTCAAAAATATATCTTTTCCATTCCAACCTATAGAAAAAGCAATTTCATATTGCTCTACCTAAGAGAATAACTGCTTTGACAAATCCTGAACTACAAATTCGATGTTTGAGATTTTTAACCCTGTGGAAGAATGCAAACTGCTCTACTAATTGTGAAAAAGATAACGAAGGAAATCATATATTCATTCGATTTGCTTTTCATTTTTCTTCACTCCAAATTCGTTTTCGTATCACGAAATATTCTGTATACATATATTCTACTTGCTACATAGAAAATTCGAGTCGAATTGGTGACCCAAATGTCGCGAAGTATTCTCGTAGGTCGACCCTAAATAACGTCACAGGCAGAAATGCAATTATTTTCACAGTGAATAGTAATATTTATTTCGTTTCTCGCGAATTAATCTCATTGTTACCGACATGTGTTTCCTTTGTTAAAACATGTATTAATTATAAACTAACATCATGCGCGACTTTCTTTCATTCGGCAGCAGCGCTTGCTAATGCTCCAGTAATTTCCTTAATTACTTCGCTTTTCTGTTGAATTCCCCATTTAAATTCTAGCTCCCCGCTATTAAGTTAGTTTTGCTCGAATAATTAATTACTCACTATCGTTTCACCGGTGTTTCATTGAATCAATGAGAATATGATACCACGAAATCATATTTCTTCAATTTCTAGATATTTCAATTTAATGTATCTAACATCAATTTCTAATTCTTAACTTCGGCGTTACTGTATTTTGTTTCGAAAAGAAAAGATTTTATTTAATACTAATTTACATCTCTATTATTATCACAAATTCTATCTTCCGGATATCAATTACGGAGAAAATTTCATTTTCCCAAAAATGTGAATTACTATCGCTTCATTTTGCCTTTCATCAACAGATATAAAACACCTGCAGGTATCTCCGCTCAATGAATTCGAAATCGAAGCGTACCGAATGCGGTCGAAATGCACGAACAACTCCACGGAGAATCATTAATGCTGTGCATCTCCTTGATGCAGAACTGCACTCCACCCGTGACGTCATGCGGTTTGAAAGGACAGGTACAACTGCCGTCATTACTGCAGGCAGGATGAATTTGGAATTATGGTTTCTGGTAATACAAAGACACAACAGTCGTTGAATCCACGGTCACGGGAAACCAAACAAATACTCCACGGATTACTCTTACCGTTAAGTGATCGCGTGTGCATACTTGTACGAATAAACGAGTTTAATTGGAATCTCAATTGATGTGAACATTGCTATATTCGTAATTCCCACTATCGGTACTTATCAATCTACGAAGATTCAGTAATCTGCTTTAAAAATATGATTAAGAAGAATGGAAGAAAAATTGACAAAATCATGGAAACAGTATACATCTATTAATTCAGGACGCGTTCAATGAAAATTTATGCAAATATAGAACCTTATAGATAAATTTTTCGAAACTGGACGCGAATAAAAATATATTTTTCTTGTTAAGAGTTCTAGTTGATTTGGAATAAAAAGAAAACCTGAATAAACTTTCTGAAATTCTTTACTATACTTTAATTTTATATAATCGAATATTTTGTAAATGCATAAAATCCGCAGTCTAATGATAAAGCATCGAACATTCCATCTTTAACCTCAAATAACAAGATTATTTTTCCTAGTTCCTAACTAACCACACAAAATAAACTCAACAGTATATTTCTAACAGTAGCACCTCGTCTGATCTTTGCGACCAATTCTTCTAGTACCCACAACATACTCACACTAGTTCCCTAAGTAGAATACTGTCAGATCGAAGCACCGAATCGTTTACAACTCTATTCTAAAATCTTCTAATACGGTCAAGAACTCATTTAATTCCTGAACAAACAGTAAACTATTTCCCTAGTTGCAAAGTTTATACCACTTGATCGCTAATAATAATCTCATAGCTGATCTCACAATCAAATCAAAGACTGAAAATGAAACGAAGATTTGAAAGTTCATACAACACTTTTCCCTTCAAACAATTAATCAAACTTTCTCGCACTCTCTCTAAGAATCACTTTATACATCTCGACAGAATTTTTTCTCTCATCGTTAAAAATTCGCTGCCAAAGTTTATCGAATCAGTTTAGAAAACTTCAATGCCCTCTCCGTTCACCTGCCCGTTTGTATCAAACGATCCTTAATTGCTATCTGGCCAAGAAAGGGACAGACGGTTGCCCGTCGAAAACTAATGGAGCGCTTCCTGTACACGCCCTTCCCTCGATTCCAGATCTTGATACGTGCTTCTAAGATTACAGTCGATCTTGATCGACTGCAGGCAATATCTTCATTTCCCGACTTTAACGTCGAATCGATCGCGATTACGCTCCCCTGAAATCGTCGCGGATGCCTCGTCGAGCCGAGAGAACAATACCTAAAAAAAAGGGGGTTGAAGTAACATAGATGCGTGTCAAAGTGCGGCGTCAGCATGCATAACAACTCATTGTCTCATACATCGAGATATAATCATGCGTGGCCGCATGCCAACTGCAAAAGGTGATCATCGCGCTCGTGGAGACACGCAGATGCTGGGAGAATCGCGAAACATTACGATTGACGGTCGTGCTTGCTCCGGAAACGCTTCGGGATTGTTTGATCGTCACGTGAAAACACGGTTTCGCAGCTTTGACCGTCGATCGCATGCTTCGCGACCGACTCCGAACGCAGATGATTCGAAAAGACAGGCGCATGCAGATATATAGATCGTGCGCACAGTACAATCGGAAGCGGACAATTCGTGCGAATGTTTTATTTTTTTTTTTTAAGTTTCGAGGGGCAACAGAAGTTTTTCATGTCGGTTTACGTTATATTGTACGAAGTGGAATTTGTCGTTGTTAAACGGCAACGATAACGATCGATACATGTATGTACACGATTGGAGTTTACTTTTCGATATAAAGATTGACGATTCGAGGATTTACGATGACGCGTTCTGGTTGACTCGGTGATGCACGATGCTTGCTTAGAAAAGTTGAACTTTATGGGTCCGTTTGAACAGAATTCTTGAAATTTTCGCGAATTGTTTAGGGTGTTTCGAGATGAAATAGAGAAGTTTCTGTGGCATATTTAGCAGACTATTCCGAGCCAAAGACGTCATATATGCTATAGTATCTGTTTTCTTACAAAACTCGAACTACGGTAATAGAATGTACTCACATATATGTTTACGATGTGCAATTATGTTTGTTTTTCGTGTTTTTTCGATTTTAAGCATTTCAAAACAAAACGATCGTATACAAGATTATCACCAGTTATTAGCAAGATAAATATTATATGAAAATAATCTCGCTGTCGCGTGGCACGGTTTCGTTCTTCCGAAAGACGCAAATTGCATTAAATATTCACTTTCAATTTCTAGGCTCCGATGAACTTCCTTTAACGTCAACTTGGGAAATATGCGTTGAATATAAATAAAGACACCAAAGTGAAGTAAAAAGATAATTAAAAAACAAAAAGTAAATATTTTATTTTTACCGTAAATTTTTAAGGAATTTAGATAAACTAAGAAGATTATACAATTGTTTTGGTTCGGAATGACCTGTTAAATCTACTAGGTGTACTAATGAGTTTCTATTTTTCATTAAATTTTACGGCAATATATTTCTTGTTACGAATTTAAATTCAAATTAATTATTTATTATCATTATGAATATAAATTAAGTAATATAGAACTCAGACTTACATAGAAACGAATAATGAGTTGGTTATGAAATTTTGTATTATTTATTCGTACACGAAGTAGTAAAGAAATTTATTGGTATCATCGTGAAACACCCTGTGTGCTTGTCGACAGACGCAACATTTATTGAATGGTAATAGCTGTTGGAGAGTTTTTGTTATCCCGGTATCCACTAATACTACTCACGAAAATAGAATCTCTATGATGGACTTCAGAGAATAGCTCCATCAACTACT